GCCTTTATTTTCTAACTTCTAAGTTCTTTAATTGTTAATTCAACATTTTCAAACTCAAAAATCTCAAATCTTTGATAAAAATATGTTTCAATAGTTAATTAAGCGTTGATTTAATTATGAATTAATCAAACAATCTTTGTGGACAATGACCTTACATGAGCAATTATACTACAATTACCTTGTATTCTTGCAAGTATTTTCAATGATTTTAACCCTATTTGCATGTGGTAAAAATCCTATCAGTTATCTTGGACATGTTTTGGAGTTGTCTAAGGCTTTGAACGTGGCTAGTTTCTTTGCTGGGAGATTCTCATTTTTAGATAGGGATTACGTCTTTTAGTTTTTCTAAACTTATTTTTGTTTCCTACTTTTTGGAAGACTAATTTAAATTGTATAGTATTAAAAAGGCTTTTGGCCGGCCATTGTTTCTCTATGCGATTTTGGAGAGAGATTTTGGCTAAAGCTTTTGACGAATTTGAGACTTTTGCATTCAAGGTGTTTTCAATCTTTGTCTATTTCAATAAAATTTATTTTGATTTCAATTATGAATATACATGCGTAACTAATATTCTTTTGCTATGTGAGACCATGAGCATTAGCAAGCATATGTAGTTTTTTTTTTTTCAATTTGCTTATATATTATGCATGCAAGTTTTGAGTTATTGATGACCGCGTTTAAACTATCTAAGTGTCTTGATGATTCACAACCATTAGGATATTTAGAAAAGTAACTTGATGCAATTTTGGTTGGAGAGTTGTCCTTGAAATTGATGAAGGTTTCTTATGGTTAATAATTGTAATTTCACTTGAGATGAATACCACATCTCATAGTTGCATGACTTTTCAAAGGTTTTCATAAAGCTTAATGAGTCTTGCATGTTTAGATTTGATCTGAATACCACAGAATGATTACATGTTTGATATACATTCTAGATTGGGGGACCAAGTAGAGCATATTTTAGGAAACTTAACCTTGAAAATATGCATGTATAAGTCATAAGTAACTAGGAGAACTACGTAAGATTGTTAAGGTGATGGTAGAACCCTAATGCTTTTATAACTTGATTTAAAAAAAAAAAAAAATGTTTTCTTTTAGTTTCTTTAATCTCGCTAATTTCTTTAATAGTTTTTATTTAAATTCGTTTTTATTATTTTTAGTCATAAAGTCAACCTTTTTTCAAATCTTTGTTTTAAATAATTTATTAAGATTTAGTTTTAATATAAATTGTTTTTAATAATCTTTGCGGATAATGAATTTGTCAAAGTCGATCATACTACGATAACCTTGTTTCTCTTGCAAGTATTTTAGGTGTTTTTAACCCTTTTGCATGTGTGGTAAAACTATAATCAAGTATCAAATGATGCTATTTGGTTAAGGCTTTTCCCATTCTCATTTGAAGGACAGCAAAGAATTGGTTGGCTTCTCAACCTCATGAATCGAACACTACGTGGGATGACCTAGCAAAGAAATTTCTAGCCAAATTCTTTCATCCTGCAAAGATTGTAGGACTACAAACGAGATTAAGTCATTTGCTCAATATGGTATGGTACGGCTTCAGAGGCATGGGAAATGTACAAAGAAATGTTTAGGAAGTGTCCACATCATCTGCTGTAGAGGAGGTTTTTATCCGAGATTTAAAAAAAAGGGTTCTCTTGCGATTGTCCCCCTTCCACTGATGACCTTTGTGCCCTAGCAGATATTATACAACCTTGTATTTTCAGTGATCAAAATGCTAGTCTGGTGAGCCCTGTTTTAGATGACGAAATCTGGAAGGCTGTCAATGGTATTGGTGCTCTTAAAGCTCCTGGTCCTGACGGCCTCAATGCTGGTTTCTTCCAAGAGTGTTGGGAATTAGTTAAGGATTCAATTATGTGCATGATTAAATACTTTTTCCAAAATAGATCTACGCTACAACTTATAAATCATACTAATATAGTCTTAATTCCAAAGATTGTTAACCCGGAGATGGTTTGTAATTTTAGACCTATTAGTTTGTAGTGTATGGATGTTTGTTTATTAGGTTCTTATTTTCGAGTGTAGATGTAGTACTTAAACGACAAATATGTTTTAATGTTTTGAAGTAATATTTATGTGGTAATGTGTGGTATGTGCAAATTTAAGAAAAAATATATATTTTTCTTAACATGTCATAACGGGTCAGGTCACTTTACCCCGTTGGGTAAAGTCACCCGACCTGTTAAGGACCCGTTAAGATAACGGGTGTGACACGACACGACCCGTTAAGATAACAGGTGTGACACGACACGACCCATTAAGATAACAGGTTTGACACCAAAACGACACAAACATGACAGACACGACCCATTTGTCAGGCTTAACTCTCATAATAAAAATAAATAATGACTAAAACCTTTTTTTTTATTAACATATAAAGAATAATAATAATAAAAAACTATATATTTAATATAGAATATATTGTATATATTAATATGGCTATTGTATTTTATAATAAATCTTTTGATAATTAAACTTTAAAATTATGAAAATAATTTTTTTCTTAACGGGTGAAAACAGGTTTCCCACGTGTTACCCGTTAAGAACCCGTTAATACCGGGTTCTTAACGGGTCACCCAATAATGACCCGATTAGTTATTGTGTTGATCCGAAACCCATTATTTTCGTATCGTTTTCGTGTCGTGTCAGAAACTGTCAGGTTTAGATGTATGATTTAAATAATTATCTTTTTATTTTGATTGGAATATATACCATTTACATATAACAGCCGAGGTTAAATTAGTCTAACACCACCAACAACATGACTTTTAAATTATGCATGCACTCTCCTCTTCCTTTTTCTGTTATTTGCAGGAATAAGATTACTAATTGGCTCCGTCAACTCGTACAGCTCCGAAATTGATCGAAACCTTTTCTTCCTCGGCCTGAAACTCACTTCCTCTTCCTCTTCCTAATCACCTTCAGCGACTAACATTTTATATTTCCAGCACGAGGCCCCCTTTCCATGCTTATCATCATCGACATCGCGACGAGCTGCTGTTCTGCTTTTACCATTGCATTCATCTCCGCCGTTGTTTGTATTGCAGTCGGAGTAGTCAGCTGACGCGGATGATCCGCTCAGTTGTACGAGAAGCTCTACCGTGTTTATTTCCTGCTCGAAGAAACCATTTGGGATCAACGGATTCTTTCCCCCGCCCTCGCTGCTAGCTGCTGCTGTAGAAGTTGTTGATTGCTCCATAAGTTAATAACTTGAATTACTTGATGTTAATGTTGTGTTGTATAATTTGTGTGTTAGTAGTAAATTAGTAATAACTTAATTAGTTGAGAAACAACGGCTATGGAATGAGTATGTGAAGAGGCTTCAGGTGCCGTTGGGTTTATATAGGCATAGACAGTGTCGGTTAATTCAACATTTCCTGCTTGCATTGGGATTACCAACTCCAATAGTTTGGTTAAAAGCCAAATTTTTTAGCCCGAAAATTTTAACTTTTAACTCAGAAACAACTTTTATGCTCCAACATTTCTGGCCTAAAATTTTAGTCCAGAATTATTAAAGAATAAACTTAGATTATTCTTTTCTTAAATTAAATTTAAAAAAATTAAAATAAATTTGTAGATTATCGTAAATTAATTTTATGAACAGTTTAATTTAAAAATATTTATATTCTGATAAATATTGAAAAATCACTAAATTTTCCACAAAGTAAGCCTTCAACTTAATACAATCGATAATTCATAAACCACATAATTAATAAACTACATAAACATAATACAAATGACAATAAATAAACTTAATTAATAAAACACATAATCCATACACTACATAAACATAATAATCATATCCACCATCTTCACTTGGTGATGGACTTCATGATTGAATTGGGATATAAGGTTCAGAGGATTCATCATCTTGAAACATACTCCTTGAGGCAGACTTTCGCAAAATTTCCTTTTGCTTACCACGTAAGAACTTCTTCCTCTCCGGAGTGTATTTGCTAAGGTCCTTCATCATCAAATTAATTTCAAACCTCTCTTGCTCCCTATCTGAGATTTCCTTCATTTGCAAACGCATTTGGGTCGTTTCTTCTTGGCGAGCGCTATGTGTTTCATTCAATTTTGCAATTTTGGTAGCAAAGTGTCCACTCATCGGATCTTGGGACTTCCCTTTTCTCTCTGCTTCCTTTTGCTTATCTCTTCCCGACGGCCTTGCAAAAGAAGGAGATGGGGTCATTTCATCGACACCTTCATCTCCGGCATTTGTCTGTGCAGCTTCACGTTGAAATAATCTTCCCCATTGTTGGTCCGCATCGATTCCCCACCTCAGACAATCCTTGAGGATGTCTCAAGTATGTTGCAACTTAAAAACTTGATTTTTGGTGTTACTCGTCTTGTAAATTTCCATTGCTTTGTCACCCTATGCAAAAAATACATAAAAATAATTAGTTGCAAACTAATATTATGTATATGACAAATAAAATATCAAGAACAAAACTCACAATTTCTATGGCGCTCCTTCTACTAGGCATGCCAACCACGGCTCTCTCCAAGTTTCCCTTCCATAAAGTGCATGCTTTGTTGATAGCCTTCCATCGATCATAAACACCACCACCGTCCCGCCCGCTGCCGTTGCAGTTTTCTTGAAACTTTGCAATAATTTTATCCCACAAAACTTTTTTATTTTGATTTGTGCCAACTGCAGCATCTTCGCTAACAGAAACTCATGTCAAGCATAAAGCAACATCTTTCCCACACGTCCAATTACGACCTCTAATATGCTCTCTTGCCATGTTGAACAATTTAGAAATGGAAAGAAATGGTAGAAAGATAAATTGGAAGAATTGTAGGAGAAAATTGAGTTTTGTGTGGATGTTTGAACAAATACATTGGTATTTATAGAGTTTTTGGGTGAATTTTGAGTTAAATAATTTTTTTTTACTTATTTTAGCCATTGGATTTAAATTTGGGCCGTTAGATCTTTTTTTTTTTACCGTTAGATTTGATTATATTCGATCTCAACCGTTGGTAACCAGAAATTTGTTTCTCCAACATGATACTTGACTATGATTGCTCAGGAGAAACTGCTTAGAGTCCATCGATAGTTCCCAAAAATGAAATCAAACTCGACAGCTCTTCAATCTAAAAGAAATACGACCAAACGGAGGTATAACAAAGAATGTAATCCATCATTTTCGTTGCCTCTGCAATACAGTTGAAGTAAGTGCTCAGTGCTCAACGAACGAACCTCCTGTCACGAAAGGAAATATCCAATTAGATCTAAAATTGCAAAAAGATAACACAATAAGAGCATGATAAATATTCCATCTCATACCAACCAAAAAGATCAATGACTAGCACTAACCAGTTACCAATTTCAGAACCGAAGCAGGAGTCAGAGATCAAGCTTTCTACAGATAGACCAAACGAATAAATAAAACCATAGACAAGGTATAATTACTGAAACAGATAAGTATGAGCCTGTAAGAATCTGAAAAGAAGTGTATATATTAAACCAATGCATAAGGACCTAGAATCTGAAACATCATAACAGTAATTACAATGGACTTGCATGATACAAATGCACAAGCAGGAAGAACAGAGCTATTTATCAAACAGAACAATCGGGACATTGTCTCGCTATGCAATATCATTATGTTTTCCATTAGAACTTGTCAGACAAAGGTCAAGAATACAATGATTATCAGTTCAGTTTCAAGTTGTACTTTTAGCAGCAACTAAAATTACAAAGGAAAGTTAAACTCATATGCTTCTCCCAAATCCATGAAGGTTTTCCATTCTCGCGTTTTGGCTATTGGAAACTCCAGAAACAGAAATAGGGTTGAATTGTGCTGGTTTCTGGTTATTGTTTCTTCTCATCAGAATCTCCATTTTCAACTCGGTTTTCAAACCCATGATAAGGAACTTCAAACATGGGCCGGGGCACTGGACGTCCATCGAAGTCTTCTGGAAAGAATTCAAAATCAGGGCCGAAGTTGAACTTGACAACACAATTTGGTTGATGTGGAAGAGTGTACATTGAAGCAGTAGGATAGTAACGTCCACCATATAGATCCTTAAAAGCAACTCCTTGACATACCCCATTTTTAAAAAATGATATCTCACTTCCTGCAAAGCAGATCAACAATCACTCCAGAGTTACACTTCCAAGAAAATAAATGTAGGTTATCCTAGCAGAATAGAAACCTTTCTAGAAGCTTGAAAAAATGCTCCTAAAACCCAGAAAAATTATTGAAGTAGCAAGTTGGTCGAAGAAGCAGCATGTACAATTGCATGCTTGGATCCTAAAGCAACTTACTATTGCACACAGTATACAAATGGCAATGAGTTCAATAACAAACTTGAGGACTGCTACTGGAATTGGATGGGAACACCAAACTGAAGTTTCCTTTTCATCTCAGGAAAAAAGAACAGTTAGGTAACAAATTGGCAAGAAGGAAGCGTTTTTCAACCATGGCAAAGCCAAAAATAATATATTCACTCAGATCAAAAGCAATTGGGATTTTTACTTGATACAGGCTGGCAATGATAAATGCAGGATACATAATGAGGAGTGGTTTTAAGATGGGTTGGGAAAAGCCCCATGCAAATTCCCTACTTTTAGCCATTTGGAAAAGAAAATACAGATATCTTCGGGTTTAAATAGCTGATGGTTTCCATTGTCTTTAAATTTTAGAAATTTAAGTTAAATCATGTTTAGTTGCCTGGATCAGGTCCAGGTGTTCACGGCTAAGACTATGCAAGCCCTGACACATAGATTCAATGTCCTGTCCCACAAAGATTCAATTTCCTGTTTCATTGAAATAGAATACACATCTTTCACTATTCTAATTAGATTGTAACTGGATATCACATTCCAAGAGTCAATGCTTGCATGGCTTGTAAGTATATTATGAACTTCGAATAATTCTCATGCGGTGGAATCTACCAACGCCTATATACCCCTTAAACTCACGAATTACAGTTCAACCCAAGACTGCAGAGTCAGTTCTTCAATTTAATCATTCTGATTCCTCATTCCCAAAATTTTCCCATTACCTAACTTTATACCAAGTTTTTAACTCATGCTATGACTTGTTGAACAAAGAGGGGCATGAGAGACGACAGATTAAGATTCATAACTAGTTTCACTAAATAATAATATAGGAACAATAATACCATCCCCTGGAAACCATTTCGACCCCTTCGTACCTAGTTTGGCTAAAATGCACAAAGATCATTTCTCCCATCTCTTGCTTTCTTCTGCACAAGCAAATGTTACAATCACATGTCTCAAACCTCACTATAATTATAGTCTCTCTCGCAAGTAAAAGAATTAATAATTATAGTACATTCTGTTGGCGAATGTTGTTCCCCTGAACTTAGATACCGGAAACAATAAGTCAAATGTGCAGTTTAATGCTACAAACGTTATCGTGCAACAGAGATAGATAAAGACTATAAGTCACAAGTTCAGTTGTTTTGATCATCTCTTAGTCTGAAAAGGTGTTATTCGGTCAGTCTTCATGCAAGGAATGTTTTGTTTTATGCTGAGTGGAGGTCTATCTTCTATGAACTGCTAAAGACACTCATTCTATTTTCTATCAACCCAACATCTGTTCAGTTCAACTCGTTCATGATTTCAATTAGAACCATAGGGAAAGAGTGCCATAACAGTTGAACTGTGCTAGTGGATTTGTATTCACATTCATAAAACAAAACAAGAATGCCTATGCAAGAAACACAATGCTCCGCAATAAATTTCACACCAAACACAACCACAACCACAAAATCACCGAAAATAAACACTTGAAAACATCAACACTACAAAAAACAATCACTCACTCACCAGGCACTACTTTCGGAGGATCCTCCTTCACGTCAGGGGCACAAGCATACCGCTGACCCTTGTACCAAACCAAATGGGGCGGCTTTGGGGCATACGAGCCCCCATCAGGCAAATTTATATAAAACCCAATAACATCACCTTCCTTGTACCCTTCCTCCCCATATTTCTCCCTCAAAGCCTTATGCACCTTACTCCCATCAATGTCCCTATACCCAAAACTATTCGCATCATACCCGACGGGTGCCTGCAAGTCCCCTTTCTCAGTGGACCAGCCAAGCCTTGTGTGGCCACTCTCTCCCAAGTTCACCACCTTTATTTCAAAATACCAAGCCCCCTCAGCCACTCCCCTGGTGGCCCTAACCATTCTGTACCCTTTTGTGCTACCGGCACTCATTCGGTCCTCGCTCACCTCCACTTTCTCGGCCTTGTACACCTTGGAGAGGCAGATTGTCATGTCCGGAGTGTCGTCAGTTTTGTCCGGGAACCGCGTGACTGGAGTGATCAACACGGTGTCGTCCCCGGGGGCATTGTGGTTGTTGTTATTGGCCTTGCTCTTCTTTTTCCCCTTGCGGGTCGACTTAGTGACCCACACATTGTTGTTCTTCTTCTTCGATTTCTTCGAATTGGCGGCGGTTGGGGCGGCGGCGGCGACAGCGATTCCGTTGGAGATGGGCAGGGGCAGTGGGGTTTGATCTTGGTCGGGAAAGGGCTCTGCGGTGAGGGAAGAGAGCTGCTTTTGCTTCTTGGGAGGCGGATCGTCGTCGTCGTTGTCGATGTCGATTTCTTGGGATTTGACGGACTCGGAGAGAGATTCGGAGGCTTCGGTTTCCGTTTTACTGCCGTTTTGCGGGTCGTTGGAAGGTGGGTTTAGGGTGTCGGTGTCGGGGTCGTCGGTGGTGGGTTCGGGTGGTTCGATGGGCTCGGCAGTTGGGATTGCGGCGGCGGTTGTGGGTTTCGATTGTTCGTCTTCTTCGTCGTCTTCGTCTCTATAGGTTCGAAGGTTGTCCATGTCTTGGGGAAGAAAGACAGAGAGAGATTGAAAATTTGAAATGGAGAGAGAGAGAGAGAGATAGAACTGGGTTCTGTGTCGATAACACGCATAAACCTGGGACTGAAACTCGGGAAGAAGAAATGTTTTAAACTAATGAAGAATATGTCGAAATATTGGATTGGATTGAATTGGGCTATGGACTTAAGTATTTTTCGAAGCCGATCTAAAGTGTTAAGGCCCGGTTCCAGCCGACCCACCAAACGGGACCTTCTACCCCCCATAATCTTATTAAGAGAAAATACAAATACAAATACGGGGACATAAAGTCAAATCTCGTTTATGAGAAAAACATAGCAAGTAATACGATAAGGGAATAAAAAATCAACCCTACTTACAAAGAAAATATATGATAAAAGTCATCTGAAACGATAGTTTGTAGAAGTAGAAAGATCATGAATATAAGCAAAAGCTACACATGAAGAAACGTTAGACCACCAGTAATATACATCGTGATCTGCACCAAATTATCTAAGGCCTCAGCCCCAGTTGCCCTTGCGTAAGTATGGGAAACAAAAACAACATATGCCTAATATGCCATAGGCAATTGCTCCATTCAACAAGCAAATACAAATTAATGATAGAACTATAAGGGGGCGTTTGTTTGCCCTCACTAAGTCGGACTGGACTGGACTGGACTAGCTATTAGTCCAATACCGTGTTTGTTCCATGCTGGGACTAACATTAATGAGACTAAAGGGGACTAGCATGGACAAAACCCTTCACTAAGAGGTCTTAGCGAGACCCCCCAATAACCATGGGACTTGCTAAGACTATCCTCTCTTTCTCGTCCTCATCATGCTCAACGACCACTCCCGACAAACTCCTCGTCATCTCCGGTCACCTAGATCAATCATTAACTTTCCGACTCTCTTTCAGATCCACTTCAAAACCAACTTTCATATAAAATATACAAAATTGAAGCTGGGAGTGACAAGATTACGATTCTACCTGAATCGAGGCCAAAATGTGGTCGAATGTGGCCGGAAAATGGCCTAGAAGTCTCGGCCTGTTTGGGCTTCTTCAAATCCATGACAGATTCGAGCATGCAAAGCTAAGATCTCGGTCCAGGGATGGTGATGAATTTTTTGGCGGTGTTAACTTCATCCAATTTAACGAGGGTTGGCTGGAAAACACATTGGGAAACTTGCAACTCGTTGGGAAAATTGGAGCCGTGAGGTTCCGTTCGAACAATGCATAGCTAGAGAAGAAGGGAGGACAGAGAAATAGAGACTGGAATCGATAAGGAGTTTGACCAGAAATGAGAAAGAGACATGAATTGAGAGGTCTGAGAGGAAAAAAAGAGGGAGAGGGTGGGACGAAGAACTGAGAGAAGAGGAAGAAAGTGGGACAGAAATGGTAGGAAAAGATGGAGAAAAAGATAAGATCATAATAAAATATTAATAATTTATATATTAAATAATATAATATTAGAATTTGTTATTATCCAGCTTCTTAGTCCAATACTGCACCAAACGCTTCACTAAGTTAATCCAGTTTAATCTAGTCTAAGTCAGTCCAGCTTAGTCCTTGAAGCTAATCCAGTCCGAGATAGTTCAGCGCAACAAACGTCCCCTAAGAGTTTAACTAGTGAATCACCATACTTGAGGCCGTCTCCAACCAAATGTAATGCCATCCATCCACCGAAGCAACTCGAATAGCCTCAGCTATAGTAAGAAGCTCAGTTGCAATCGAACTAGAAACAGACGACGTAAAAGAACCCAAAGCAATACCTTGATAATCACAAAATACATCACCATAACTTGCATGACACATTAGTAATAACCTTGGTCCACCCCACCATAAGAGGTTTTCAGACAACAGGTTTGAAACGCGAGGTAGTAGACAACAAAGAAGAAACGCCTAAAAGTCTGAAAAATAAAAGGACTTGACGCAAAAGGAACCGAAGAAAAAACCAAAGAGGCAAATTCTTTAGAACACATAAAAATACTAGCCTTGGCATGAGCGATACATAGCTTAGCACCTTTAAAACAGATCTTGTTTCGTAGAGACCATAAATACCAGCTCAAATACTCACGATTAAAGAGATCATTTAATAACTATTTCGTTTTTACATTTTAGTTTTCACTTTTTTGAAATTGATGAAAGCGCTTTTTGTGAAAATGTTTTTGGAACCCAAAAACATTTTTTCTAAAAATAATTTCAATCATTCTAAAAGTACTTTCAAATGAGCCATTCTCATTTTTCTTTTCATTTTCATGTTGTTGTTGCCTAATCCTATGTCTGATCTCTCACTAAATAAGGAATTGAGACCATCTCCAACCGAAGGATTCAGAGGGCCAGAGGGCCGAAAATAGCCCGAAAACCGTCTCCAACCAAGGGCTAGGCCAAATTGCTTGTGACGTCAGCTAGCAATGGCTAGCTGACGTCGTGCTGATATCAGTTATCGTTGGATTTGAATTTTTTTTTTTTTAATTTTTCCAACCAAAATTTTTAAAAATTCTCATTTTTTCCTATAAATACCTAAGCCATTCCTACACCATTTGTCACATAATTTTCACCATTCTATACTATCTCACTTCATTCTATTTCAATTCTTCACATTCTATTTTCTTACCTCCTCCAATAATCTTTCCTTCAATTTTTTCAATAATTTTCAAATGGCCTCATTTGCAATGAAAGGTAGGGTTTGGACCCGAAAAGAAGATGAAGCTCTTTGCAGGACTTATAGATGGGTCTCGGAAGATAGTGTGAGGGGGACTTCTCAAACAAGTGAAGGTATTTGGACTCGTGTGTCCAAAAAATACTATGAGTTCTACAAATGCACCACTCCACTGAATACCCGAAACCACGATATTTGTTCTTCAAGATGGAAGAAACATCTTCATCCAAGTTTGAATAAATGGCATCAAGCACTGTTAGCAGCCACAAGTAAACATGAAAGTGGCGCCAATTACTACGACGAAGTAAATGTTTTCATAATTTATTTTAAATATTTAATTATATTACATTTAATTTCATAAATTAATTTCCTTTAATTTTTGTAATTATATTTAATTATATTACATTTAATTTCAAAATTTAATTCCTTCAATTTTTGTAATTATATTTTCTAGGTACGAAGCAGAGGAATTATACATGAGGGCAGCTTGAAACCTTTTCAGTTTCATGGTTGTTGGGAAATTTGTAAAGGGTGGGTGTTATTTGAAGATCCACCTCAACATAGAGTAGGTCCTACGCCGATGTTCGGAACTCAATCCTCAGCTGTAGATGGGGATGAAGATGGATTTCCTACCATTCAAGAAACAAGGGTAGAAAATCCGTCTTGAGGTGAAGGTTCCATACCTAGGGCTACGAGATCGAACAAGGCCCGAAGGTTGAAGGAAAAGGGCAAGGCAAAGGATGATTACGTTGCTTAACAGGAAATGGCGGCCTCATTGCAATTAATGGCGGAGCAAAATGTCTTTGCCACGGAAGAAAGGAACCGTGGGCATGAAGAACGGGCCAAACAAATACAAGAAGAGATGGATGATAGGAATATGCAAAGGAACATTTTGGATTACACTCCAATGAGTAAGGCCTATTTTGATAGGAAAAAGAGGGAAATTATGATCCGGCGGCAGTTGTTTACCTCAAACTATACTCCTACAATGGCGGATGATGAAGATGATGTTGATTATGGACTTTAAATTTAAGTTGTTGTAGTTTTTAAATATAAGTTGTAGTTTTTAAATTTAAAAGTTGTTGTAGTTTTTAAATTTAAATAATAAACTATGTTTGGCCCTTGGTTGAAGATGATTTTTTGTCACAAGGCTACGTTTGGCCCTATGACTCTTTGGCCCTCGATTGGAGATTGTAAGAAATATGGTCATGCACTGTTCATTAAAATATTAATTTATTAGAGGACCGAGGGCTAAAACGAACCCTTTGGCCCTCCTTCGGTTGGAGATTGCCTGATTCCTTCTCTTGAGTCATGACAAACAGAGGGCCAAAAGCCCCAATAAATGGAATCAAAGTCCTTATTTAATTAGGCTTATATTTGATTTTCTTCCTGAACTTTTGTACACTCAAAATCGTCTTTTTTTCATTTGTGTAAAATCCGTATTACATAGAAATTTTATCCCTCCTTTAATCTGCCACATTGATACCAAATTGTAGAGGGCATTAAATTTGTGCGTAGCTTGACTTGCATGTATTAAAGCTGCCATAACACCATCTAGAAAAATGATCGAATTGTAAAATTCTATAGAAAATACACATTCGTATCTTTCCAAGCATGGATGAATCATCATATGGTTCTTCTTGAGTCGGTACATTTTATTTGACGAAATCGAGTGATCTGCACAAGCAATGCTAACGGCATAGAATTTTTAAGGCCTTTTAATCTCATTATTTTTTCTTTTTAGCTCATTTTCTACTCTTTTCTTATTACAGCCTAAAAACCATAAAAGGAAAGTAAACATATATAGAAATTTTCAAGGTATACAAGATACACTCCTGATTGGAACTTCTTTATATCTTGTTGATGCACAAGATCGGGTTGATTTTGGATCATCTTATATCCGACCGTAAATTAAATAAACATACAAAAACACATGATGTATCGTGGTTGACATCAAGTTTTCTACCATTTTTAAGTAACATGTTGTAAGTTCGATTTCGACATGTTCGATATCAAATTGCTATCACTGTTTTAGGATTAATAAATAATAACAAAGAAAAAGAAATTGGTACTCCATCCTTTTGGGTTAAAAATTAGGAAAACTAATGAAAATGGCTTGAAAACTTTGAGTTTTAACGATAAGGACAAAATAAAGGGTAAAGTGAATAGTACCATGATTGACCTTTTAGTGTAAAAATGTGGTTTTTCGCTAAAGTTCACTTAAAAATTCCCACACACACGTGGACGTCAAATTCATATCTCCTAGGGCTATTGCGTGGTTGGTTGACCAATTGGCCTCGTTTGTGGGTTTGCCAAGGGAATAAGATGCAAAATTTTACTTATAACGCACGCACTGAGTTAAGCGCTGCCACGGGTTAACTGTGGGCCCACACCTATATCTCACTTTCTAGAGTGAGTAGTAGGTGGGGTCGTTGGTTGGGT